ATTTTGGTGTCAAGGTTCTACATGCCAGTATCTTACACTCCTCTGTGATGAGAAGGATGGAAATGACAGCTACTCTCATCTTCTCCCTTCCTGAAAGCTAAGAGCAGAGAAAAGTAGAGCTGCTTCTGAGAAACAAAGATGCTTTCTACCATTCTTCTAAGATGGTGGAAGAGTCTCCTTAAGAGGCTTCCCCAAGAAGGAAAAATGAAACAGGGAAAGAAGAAAGCCATAGCAAAATTCTCTGGCCATATTTCATGCCATAGGACCGTCACAGCCACTGTGGACCACTCTGGTCCGGCTATCTCCCTCCCAGGAGGTTAAGCTCTCTCAGGGCATTGTTTGGCCGTGGTCCCTATTTACCACTCAGATCGCCTCCACCATCCCTGCGCTGAGATCTCAGGAAGCCCCAAGACAGAAAGCCGAAAAGCTAGGAGAGGACTTGGTTTCGAGGTCCTCCTCCAAAACCCCTCTTGCTAAGTGGTGTAGAAAAGGGAGAGAGAACCCTGGCCTTCGCTTGGGTGGGTTCCTTAGGGGTCAGTGGGTTCCCCTCGGCCGGTGTCGAAGGGAGGTGGCCATTTGCGCCGGGCGCTCGGTATTGAAAAAGCCCTACCAGGGAAAGGGGCCTCCGCAGGCCCCGGACTCCGGGCCCGGTCCGAGTGTCAGGTGCGGCCCTCAGTTCCCAACCCTCGGGGCACCGACGACGACAGCACACAGGCCCCGGGCTGCGACCGGTCTCCCGCCCGACCGCCGGGGACTGAGGGACCCAAGCTAGGGCCCGAGCCGCATCGTGCCCGCCCCCGCCCTACCTGTGGGGGCCCGGGCGGGGTCGCTAAGGGCCGCTCCCGGGAGCCCCGCGACGGCGCGGCTTGGCGACGGAGGCGCCTCGTCTCGCCGGGGCAGAGCTCGGCGGCGGTTTCACGACCTCAAACTCCATCGGGAGCTACAGGGACAGCCCCGTTGGCGGCGGCGGAGGCCGCGACGGGGCCTCCTCCTCCTCCCTCCGCCTCCGCCTCCTCCTCCTCCTCCTCTCCAAGGAGGCGGTCCTGGAGGGATCCCGACCTAGATCTCGCGAGAAGATACTCCCCCTTTCACGCGAGATCACGCAGGACAGGGCGTTAGGGAGGTGGAAGGGAGGAGTAGTACCCCCCGCCACCTGGACTGCGCATCAGCTTCCCTCTGGCCGAGACGAACCACCCCCGTCACGTGACTAGGGAGCCCGGAGCACTGTGGGAGGTGCTGTTAGGAGGCCTAGGCGAGCCGAAAGGGTTGATGGGAAACTCCCTGCACCTTCATCAGCGCCTTGAGCTAGCCTTTAACACTGCTGTGAGGCAGTGTCTGACTCCCCTCATGAAAAAAGTGGTCTCCATTGAGCATAATCTGATACATCTATATTATATGCACTCGACCATAATTATACACTGACTCATTCCCCCAATCCTTCCACATATTTGACAATCTCCCTATTGAAAAAAACCAAAACAACAAAAAAACCAGCATTTGCTTGCCAGGCACTAACAGATATCTATTACAGAGAGTTCTTCGCAAGCTGGCAGAGATCAAAATTCAAGCACAAATTCTGGCATTAATGTCTCAATAAATATTTGTTTAAGTATTTTTCACAGCAAGCTGTGAAGGTTAAATTCCTATTGTTTTTCTAGATGAAGGAACAGACTAGTATTAGAAATAAGGGAATTCGACTTTATGGACTGCTTACCATGTGCCAGGTCCTGTGTTAGGTAATAAATATTTCATTTTTACCATTTATTTTCTTTTTTATAGTTTATTCATCAAAATAATCCTAAAAAACTGATACTATGTACTCTGTTACTGAGAAACTGAAAAACACAGATTAAAAAATTGGCCACAAACTGTGATTAAACTGAAGTCATTTTCCAATGTGAAAACATATGTCCAACAAAGGCATGCATGAAAGTAAATCCAGTACAAATTTAGACATATGGACATGTAGTTTACAAGCTGTAATAAACTTAATATGTATGTGTATATATATATGGTTATTACTATTATACTGCCATAATGTCAGGGAAACAAAAGTGTTTTTCAAAAAATATTTGTTGGCCAAAGACTTTTCTCCCATGCATTTGTATCCTTTCATTCTCTCCTATGACATAAATGCTAATCCAAGAGTAAGGTTCTCAATAATGGTTCATTTGTTCCACTATTTTCCATTTAACTAGATAGTAATGGAAGCATATATATGTATGCTTTTCATTTTACTGGCCAGTGTATATGACACTTTGCTAATATTTTCACGGGTGACCTATTATATTTAATATTACAATCCCAATTTCTGTTCCCTGGCACTCCCTATCCCTGCTTTATTTCCTCCAAGTCTGTTTTCAAAATCTGATATACATTGATTTTACTTGTTTACTGTCTTTCTCCCTCCACTAAAATACAAGCTTCATGAGACCAGGGATTTTTGTCTGTATATCTAACTTCTAGTACTACTGTAAGGATTCCATAAATATTTGTTGAGCGAATGAACAGGCAGAAGAAATAGTTTCATTCCATAAAATTCACAGATGTAGACAAAACACAAAGTTCTCCATTCCTATCTCCAGTTTATTTTTTCTTATGTAAACATATAGAATAGTTACATCCAAGGAAAAACAGCAAGGATTTTCTCTTATACCAAAGTAACAACCTACCTTTCCAAGATCCTTTATACATTAATGCAGTAAATGAAGAGGCGGAACTCAAACATGTTTTATCTTTCCCCATCATATCAGAAACACAAACAACTAAAAGTGAATGTTTTAAATGAATAAATTCAACACTTTACTTTGCCATACCTGCATTTTTCAAAAGATTCTATTTTCCTGGAATTGTTTATATACATCATGCAAACAGACACTCTCTAGGAATGTTCTGAGATCACTGTGTGCTACTGGACAGGAATAAATAAAAATAAATAACAACCATCACTTTCACAAAACAACCCTTCCCCCCAAGCAAATATCTCAAAGTGCTTACCAAAAATGTCACAAGAATCTTACAAGGCACACATAAAACTTAAACATAGTTCAACCATAATTTTTTTTTTCAAACAGCAAAGATAGTAGATACCAATTCCTAAAAAAACAGTTTATTACTATTCTTTTACCCTTCCCTCCCATCTCCATCCCTCCCCCACAAAATTTCATCCTAGGAAGCAACATAAGAAAAGTACTTCAATCACAAACTATTTCTGAAAGAAAAATGTTTTCATACCTACAAATGGTCAATTATAGGTCAAATGGGAAAGAAAATTAAATGTTGTACTATCATGTTCTCCAGTGGAAGAAAAACACTACTTAGTTTAGAAAAATTCTGTCTCCAAAGTAGTACTAAAATAGCAACATTCATAAAGACACAAAACTCTCCTCTCTTGCTTTCCCCTCTTCTCTGTTCTTAGGAACTCAGGAAGATTTAAATATAAAATCATGAGAACTTTAGACCTGGAAATGATTTTAGAAATTACCAAGTTGAAATTTATTGTTTTATATATAAGTTTAAGAAAAACTGATAGAGAAGTGACCTGTCCAATGTCACTAAGAAGGACATGGGGGAAGGGATATGAAGTTGGTTTTCTTATCAAAGATGAGAGCTGGACTCTTTAAAGTCTCTCCCAGAGTTAAATTCTATGGAGAATATATTTTTCCCAAAAATATCACAAAAAAGGATATTTAACATTTGTAACAATCAACATGTGATCAATCACAAAATTCTTATAAATGGTACAAAGTATATTACATTTTCAAATGTGGAAGGGCTTCAACAGAACCTAGAGATAGCAGAAATTCTACATAAAGTTGAGGTGAGTACAGGAGGAACAGAACATTTTGAAAGTAAGATGTATCCAGTCAGGCTTCTTTACTAAAAGTAGTTCCTGCATTTTAGAGAGTATGATTTTCCCTGCAATAGATTTTAATCTTTGTTATGACAATTAAAAGTCTCGTGTTATTTGTACACAGGGAGAGTAGAGAGCAATGGCTCATAACACAATAAAAAGTATTACTTTCACTAAAATAATCATACAGTCATGGTTTTGCTTTTGGCTCATTTCTGGAAATACAGAAACTCTAGGGATGGTTAGGATTTTTGTCAACTTGTGGTAAATGAAAAATGCATTAATATACATGAAGTTATTAATAATTAAGAGAACACTAATAGCTAGTCATATTTAAACTATTCATCTAGTGACAACAACATAATATATATGGCCAACTTAAAGTGAAAAAGGGAAGGGCGCCTGGGTGGCTCAGTTGGTTGACTGCCCGGCTCTTGATTTCGGCTCAGGTCACGATCTCGCAGTTTGTGGGATTGAGCCCCGTGTCAGGCTCTGCACTGACAGTGAGGAGCCTTCTTGGGATATTCTCTCTCTCTCTCTCTCTCTCTCTCTCTCTCTCTGCCCCTCCCCTGCTCGTGTTCTCTCTCTCAAAATAAATAAACATGAAAAATAAGTTTTCAAAAAAAAAATAAAGTAAAAAAGGAATAAATTATTAAAATACAAAGTGGATGACTCTCAAAGTCATTCTGTTTGGTGAAAAAATCGTCTCACAAGGGAACACCAGAAGATTCCATTCTGACAATCCACAAAAAGCAAAATTACACAATGGAGAACTATTGCCAGGATTTAGAGACAGGTGGAGGAGTTGACTACAAAGGGGCATCATAAGGGAGTTTTTAGGGATGATGGAATGTTCTGTATCCTGATTGCAGTGGTGGTTGCACAAATTTACATGAATTAAAATTCATGGACATGTAGACCAAAAACAAAGGTCAGTTTTACTACATGTTAACTAGAAAATAAAATAAATTTTAAAAAGGAAAGAAAGAAGAAAGAATATCTTTGGTAAGTTGGGATTTTTTTCCTTAATGTTTATTTTTTAGAGAGAGACTGAGCACAGCTGGGGGAGGAACAGAGAGAGGGAGACACAGAATCTGAAGCAGGGGCCAGGCCCCAAGCTGTCAGCACAGAGCCCAAAGTGGGGCTTGAACTCACAAACTATGAGATCATGGCCTGGGTTGAAGTCAGATGTTTAACTGACTAAGCCACCGAGGTGCCCCAAAATTGGAATTTCTAAAAGAAATTTTTCAGAGTTTCATGCCAATGGTATAATTTCACTGGTCATAAAATTACTAAATACAACTCTGTTAAATAAAATTGAGAAACCTGGGCCCAATTAGTCACTTCTAAATTATGTATACTAACAAGTCATGGAAACATCATTTTAAGATTAGCCCACATACAAGGAAATTCCGCTACTTCCAAGTGAATTTGAAGTGTGTTCCCTTACAGTTTAAAACAAGTACCTTGGTACTTAGTTAAGAATCCAACAGTAGTTTGTAAATATATATATAGATACACACACACATATATGTATATGTGTGTATATATATATATATATATTTCACTAGCTCTACAAAGAACTAATAATGGATCATAGCGGGTTTTTTTAAGTTATTTTCTCTTCCTGTTATCCTAATTCCTAAAAATTATTATATGGTTGGGATTTTACACTTATATCATTTATCTAGAGACTCAAAATCAGAACCTAGAAATACTGCTGGATCCTCTGTCACTGGAATCAAGAATATTTAAGACAGGAACATTATTTCTCTAGTTATACCACTGGGACTTACATATAATACATGAGATAAGACAGCATCCCATTAGCTTTATCATGTCTCCCACACTTTGGAACTGTTCGTAGAAGTTTAGAAAGAATAACACGTGTAGGCAGACCAAAATTAAGACCCAAAGATGGGGGGAGGAAGGGAATGCAGTATAACTATACTGCTGCATTTCTATAGAAAAACTTGCCTAACAGAACGATACAAGGCTTACATAGCAAGGTGTGGTTCTAATTATAGTAGATTTTGCCTTTTGAGATCATGCCTGGGTAGTTTTTCACTACTACTTCTGCCATGGACAGAGGTTAAGTGCTTTTTGAGGGCAGATTTGTGTTTGAAATCCATGTCACAACAGTGGCATTTGTATGGGCGATCTCCACTGTGTATGTTCAAGTGGTCCTGAAGTGTGCTTTTGGCAGTAAAGGTCTTCAAGCACACAGTGCACTGAAAGGGCCGTATGCCCATGTGCCCTCGAATGTGCCGGTTGAGATTTTTCTTCTGTGTAAATGTTTTCCCGCACTGTAAGCACAAGAACAGTTTATGCATCTTAAGGTGGCGCAGATAGTTTTCAACGTGAAGAAATCCTCGGGGACACCTGGGGCACTGGTGCCTCAGTGAATAAGCATCCTCCAGGTTCTGAATCTCATTCACTGTACCATGACTTCCTTCAGTATTCTCACAGAATAAGCTCTGATCTTGATTCCCAGGAACTTCTGCCACTCTGCTCTCAACTGTAGAATTGATCAGTGAATGCTGTGTTTCAGAGAAATACATGGTTGCTTTTGAAGAGGTACAAGGCTGTGAAAACTGCTCATTTTCTACACCGGCAGTACTGATAGATTCCACATGGAGGATACAAATTTCGTTATCTTTAAAACCAATATCTACTGAAGACAGCTCTGGTGACTTCATTTCCTTCCTCTCTGATGTCAACTCTGCTGTAGACTGTAAAACATTGCTTTCTTCTTCTTTTACATGAAAATCTACGTTTATGGGACTGTCTTCTGAAATTTCAATTATCTCACAGTCTTTATCTGAATTTTCTTCTTCATTTTTAACATCTGGATCAGAGGACTGACACAGGTCGGTATGCTGATTGTTATTTTTCATAGAAAGATCAATTTCCAGATACTTTGACAAAGCTTCTGTGCACTTTTCCACAATGTGAACCATCTGCAGGTAACTAGCAGCAGTCAAATATTTCAAAAGCTCTTTCCTTTTAACTTCAAGTGCTCCTGTATAGCAAGACAGCAACAGTTTTCTGCCAACTTCTGCACTCTGCAAGATGGTGATTCTGACATGTTTTGACTGCGTAAGTAAAAACTGATCTCTCATGAAAGTGGAGCAAGCAGCTAAAATCACCTTGTGCCCCTGGAACTCGGTGTCATTAATATAAATTGACACATCACAAAATAAATTCTGCTGTCTCAAGAGATTCATTTTCTGCAAGACTACATCTCCTTGCTGTTCAAACTGGAAATGCAGGACATCGGATTCAGCAGCCATGGTCACAATCTAAGCAAAATAAAACACAAACATTGATGTAAAGATAGGAAATGCTTTCCTACACTGTGATGGTAAAAACAAACACAAATCCCAAACCTGAATTGGGTAAAAGAAGACTCAAATTCTAATCTGAGTACGAAGAGCGAAACCCTATGCCACCGTCTCACAACCCAGAAAATTAGAACGCATTTCTCTATGATCTCTTAACACACTTTTCATATTTTTGTTACAGTACTTACTATACGGAGTTGTACTTAACAGTTTCTGTTTTTCGTCTTGGCTAAATTTTATCTATATTGTGGTCCAGGACACTGTTAATACCTACGAGTAAGAGGACTTAACATAGTCTCCCACATTAGAAACCTTAATGTAATCTCCAAGCTTCCTATTCCCCATCAGTACTGCAGGTCCTCATTCTGTTCCCCCGGGGAACCACTGCAAGGTCTTTCAACAGGTCTCCTTGATACCACACTCTCCCATATTCCCAGCCTCCTCAGTGCCACCAGAACTAACATCTTTTAATTTTTTTTTTTTTACTCTCTTCTACTTTAAATTCTCCGTTGTTCTCCTCTACCTCCAGAACAGCCTACTCTTTTTAGCAGATAGAAGATCATTCACGATTTGGTCCTAACCATCTTTTAAGGCGTTATCTTTTCTCGATTTTTCATCTGAGCTCCTTCCATATTGAGATTTTCACCACTGCCCAGACAAGAAGACCCGAATACACTTTTGCACATGTTATGTTTGCGCTTCCAGGTCCTCTTTTCAGCTAGTGATGTGGCTCCTTTAAGCCCCCAAATCACTTAAGACCGCTGTTGACTCCTCCTTCGGTCTCCCCAACAGTCAGTTCCTCCGAAAACACCACGAAAAGGTGCCTGGTTCACCTGAGTTCCCGCAGCGAACGCAGGGGCCGGCACAGAACAGGCGCTGCTGAGGGAACATCTGTTGAACCGACCCGGACCCCAGTTGGCCTGGAAGATCCTGCAGCTCGCCACACACGGGTTCTTCCCGAGCTAAGCCCGCCAAGACCGTAGGCCCTGTCGCCCAAAGGGTTGTAGCACCAGTCCAACCTTCCCACGCCCGCGCTTAGGGGCCTTCCTCCTCCACCTCGCCCTCTTCAGGCTTCCCCACCTGCCCGTCCCGATCGCGCTAACTCACCGACTCAGAGAGCCAGAAAGCAGCTTTCCGCAGCAGCGGCGGCCTAGGCCGGAAGGTGGACTTAGCCTGGGAGGAAACACATCCGGTGTCAACTAGCTCCGCTCCTCACTGGGGGTGGGCTGGCGTCCCGGAAGGACATCCTGAGACAGTCTCCCTTCCTCACTCCCCCCGCTCCTGGAATGACAGAGAGGCACCCGAATTCCGGCAAATCCCATCTCTCCTGCCCCAGTTTCGGCACACGAGCCGTTCCCCTTCGTGAGTTCTCCCCAACGTCCGTATCGCAGACGGTTTGTGAACTGGGGTGCAGCGCACCTATTCGGAATACCCTGCGCCGGAACCGCTGGGAGGCCCTCATGGGCTGTTACGGGCCGGGCCGGGTTTTCCTCACTCGGCCTTCTACAATTTCAAAGGTGGCAGAGGAGAGGAGAGGAGACTGCCATGGGGATCAACATTCGAGATTGCCTAGCTAATGACCATCAGGATCTGACTCCCACCTCTGGATCTCACTTTACCAATCCTTCGCGTGTCCCCGTTCCCCACCCACCAGTTCTGGTCGAACCCAGGCCTTGTATCTTAACTCTTGGGGCTGCTTCCTCTCACGTGCCCTATCCATTCTCCTCCCTATCATCCTTCAAAATCTTGTTCATAAATCACGTCATCCCTGAAGCCATCCTGAACTGCCCTTGAATTAGTTGGCTCCCCGTTGGGAGCCTGTAAAACCCTTTGGCCACCTTCATTATTGCAATTATCATACCTGTAATGAAATCTGTGACCCATCTGATCGGAGGTATTTAGGACAGTGATTTATGATCTCCGCATTCCCTAAATCTGGCACTGAGTAGGCATCAGGTATTTGCCAAATGAAGTTATGTCTGAACCAATTCTGAAAAGCAGCAGCTCTACCCTTCAGTCAACAGGTTCTCCTGGAAGTAACTGACCCAACTAACAATTTCTGGTTAACCAGATTTGCTTCGGAGGCCAAGCTCAGCGTGCTTGATTAATAAACAATAGGAGTGAAGAAAGTATTTCTTTTTCAAATTCAGGCAATTGAAAAGGAAAGCAGGAGGGTGAGAAAAAAGAAACCACTGACACCACAGATTTAATTGTCACACTTTTATTAAGGAAACTTCCCCATAATAAGTGAAGAGGTAGTTCATAGTATGTCTAACATACAACAGACTTAGAACAGCTATTCACCAGCTGAAATAAAATATTCTGGTTTGTTTGTTTAGGACAATCTTTTAGAAGTGGTGACTCTGGTCACCATTTATAGATCTTCTAATAAACTAAAACAAAACCACATCTGATCATCTGATTTACTTCAGAGCCACTTCAGTTTGGAGTTTGTCTTTAAAATTAAATAAATAAATAATGGTGACACGGTAATTTTTTAAAAACCAAGTTATGGTAAAGACAGTCCTTTTTAGTTATCTTGGGGATCCATAAAATACAAATGCAGAATGACTAAGGTTTTAGAAAACCTTTCTTCTCTATAAGAATATGACTAGTTTTGAAAGTCATCTTCCCTTATAAAATGTATTTGATATCAGTAACTTGACCACTTTGAAATACAATCTAAGAAACATGTATAAAGAAGGAGAAAAGTCTAGTCCCACCAAAATTAAGAAAATGTCTCACAGAAACAAAACACCTCTCCAGCCAAGAAATGGAGGAGACTGTAAATCACTTCAGTGGTTTGCAGTTGCAAAAGGTGAGAACCAGTTTTACTGATTAAAAAACCCCATCAAGATGCTGATTTTAAGTGATCAAAGAACGCAAGGCATTTTCTTTATTATTCCCAGTATAAAATCACCTTCTCTAAGACCACATGAGACCATATGAGACCACGAGACCATAAGCTCTGTGAGGGCAGGGACCTTAGCAATCTTACCTTCAATATCCTCAGTATCTAGCATAGTGCCTGGCAACAAAGGTACCCAATAAACGTTTCTCAAATGACTCAATGAACCCAGAAATAGTCTCCAACCAAAGAGACCAATCATATTGAACTCATGTCTTTTAGTCTTCAAACCAGTAACAAAAACAGGACATGAATGTAAGTGAAGGAAGCACTCCAACTTCCTATTTCCCTATGATGAAATGATGTTCAGAGAAACACTGGTTAACATTAATGTCTCACTGTTGCATAGAACTGGTACTCTTTGGCTGGATCATATAAAAATCAGAATGCTAGGTAGCATCATTAAACCATAAAATGAGTGACTTTGGGCATAAGATACCTATTAGTCTTATCACTCAATTTTATTCTCATTTTAAGGATTTTAACAAAAGGTAGAAATTATACCTCAAATCAGATTCACACGTAAATGCATCAAATTATAACAGCTCGAAGAATTCCCTGTGACTATTCAAGTTAAACTCAAGTTTTGGTTTATCTGTACATGCATTCTCATAGCTCAAAAGTAAAAACAAAAGCCCAATGGAAACTAAATAAACACTGCTTCCAGACAAAATCAGATTCACATTTGTTTCCTTCTCACATTATTCTTGTCTTTTTTCTCCCTGACCACCATCTAGCAAATCAATCACTTGCTTGAGCAGAATGTAATATTCATCCTAACCAAAAAAATAATGAACAAAAATACATCCTTCCTGTGATGTTTTGTTTTGTAAAACCTGGGCTGTCTCAAAAAGCCAACAGGGATTCCAAAAAGTGAAGCACAAACTAGGAGCTTTTTGCTGATAATAATACCCTTGATCATGTACTAAATCTTTTTAAGCTAAGAGATAGTGAGAAATAAGGAGAGATTAGCTCATATTTTTAGTCACTTCTCTACTTTGGCCAACCTTGGCCAGGTCACCTCTTTGGGCTTTGGATACCCCAGCTTAAATAAAAGAGGTGGAGTATATGATCGCTTAAAGATTCTCTAAGGGACCCTAAGACTCCTATTACCTAAATCTAATTCATGAGTCAAAAACTACTAAGACTCAAAATTTTCTTTCTGAACTATAACCTGTGCTTTAGGAAAAACAATTGTGTCTTTCCATATTGGAAGATCAATTCTGCATTAGTGATCTATCAAACATGGCAAGGTGGGACTATGTACCTTTTTAGGACTATCTGAATGCAAAAACCCAATTGCTCCTTCTGTGATCCACTTTTTTCATCCATCTTAGAAACTAGTGTACATGAAGAAATGAGGATACAGAGATTATTACAGTACAACAGACAAAACTCTGAAGGCCAAACTCACCTTTCGGAAGGCTAACCTCTAAAACAATCCAGAGACTGACTCCCAAATAGCCTCTTTTGAGAGAGACCATTATACTTTAGCACATTTTCAGTGTGCCTGGGGCAATCCTGATTTGCAAAGCATCAACAAGTACGATACACATTAATTATAAGCATTTGGCTTCTTTTCGGGAAGACCTCCCATGTAAGTGCTATTGTAAATTGTACTTCTATCCTTTGTTAATTATGCTTCTCATGCTAACTATTTGTCTGTAGGTGTTGCCGAAAACATTGTACTCTGATCTATGTGAACAACACAGTGACATGAAGTTGGGCTATAATACTGTTGAAAAGAGTACAGAACAACCCAAAATACTTCATAGCCAGCTCCAAGACAAGTACAAATGGTAGGAGGCAGATTCATTATCAATAGGCAATTAACAATAGGCAGCCAGAAGTTTTATCACATATTCAGGCCAAGAGCAATATCCTCTTATATCTCAGCCTGTTTTCTGCCAAAGAAAAATACTATTCACTTCTCTTAGCACAGCATCTATTAGTGGACCATAGGTGATGTTATTAACTCACTGGTACCCTCAGGATGTGCCCAGTGAAAAGCCTAAAATAGTGTCGGTCTAAAACAAAGGTCAATGTTAGGTAGACAAACGGAATACTCCTTGGAAAAGTAAAACAGACATCACAGGATAAATAATTCAAAACACGAAATGGGAGAGGGCAAAAGGAAGGCAAGACCACTCCAAGTGGTAAGTTGCCTGGTCTGTTAGTGCTTTGACTCACCCCTACAACCTGCACAGAGGCTTTGGAGAAGTCAAACTAGCAAAATCACTCCTAAAAAGATTCAAGACTATTGCCACGTTTTCAGTCAGTTCTAAGTTGTGAGCATAAAGCCCCTACTCAATTCACACAAGTACTATCGTTTCTTAAGTTCAAGACAGCTTGGGCCAGTTTACCTGCATCCAGGACCTGTGTTGCATCAGGCTGTGGCTGACACCCTTTAGAGTCTGAGACTGTTGTACATGCAAAAGAATCAAAATCCACTGTGAGGTCTTGCACATTTCTTTCATTGGCATTATCAAAACTGTTTTTGCCATGCAGCTGTTTAAGATGTTTCCTCAAAACTGGCTTATGTGCAAAAACCATGTCACAATAGTTACACTTATGGGGCTTATCTCCACTGTGAAGGTTAAGATGATCCTGTAAGGAACACTTCTGAGAAAAGGTTTTCCCACAGATCTTACACTGGAAAGGTTTAATGCCGGCATGCACACGCATGTGTCGATGAAGGTTGCCTTTCTGAGTAAAAGTCTTGCCGCAGAGTAGACACATAAAGAGTTTGTGCATTTTTAAATGGTTGGCGTAGTTCTCCAGGTGACGAAACACCCTGGTACACTTTGGGCACTGGTGATGCCACTGTAGGCCTTTGTCTACACCTCGAATATTAGGCCCAAAGACATCTTTTGAGGCCATGATGATATTATCACTGCCTGCGTAAGAGAGGGCATAATTGTGGAGATGGTTTTGTTCTATTTCACTTACTCTGTTTTCCACAGTTGAATTTATCAGGGAATGCTGGGGCTCTGATGAATGTAAAGCAGTGGGTTCAGAAGAAATAAACTGGTTCTGATCTTTTTTACTTCTAACCTCAGATACATCCCCAATAGATTCTACCTTAACAATCTGAATATCACTGTCCTCCA